GGCCTGCACTGCGGTGTTTCCCGCGCGGGTAACCTCGGTTCCCGGGCTTACGGCGCGGCCTCTCCTACCGCCTCTGGAGCCGCCGCGGACATGGGTTTCCTGAAACTGATAGAGATCGAGAACTTTAAATCGTACAAGGGTCGACAGATTATCGGACCATTTCAGAGGTTCACCGCCATCATTGGACCCAAAGGCTCTGGGTGCTGTGGAATCTATTGCCATGAAGAACCCCAAAGAGAGGACAGCTCTATTTGAAGAGATCAGTCGCTCTGGGGAGCTGGCCCAGGAGTATGATAAGCGAAAGAAGGAAATGGTGAAGGCTGAAGAAGACACACAATTTAATTACCATCGCAAGAAAAACATTGCAGCTGCACGCAAGGAGGCCAAACAGGAAAAAGAAGAGGCGCACCGCTACCAGCGCCTGAAAGATGAGGTGGTACGAGCCCAGGTACAGCTGCAACTCTTTAAGCTTTATCGTAATGAAGTAGAAATCGAGAAACTCAACAAGGAACTGGCCTCAAAGAACAAAGAGATTGAGAAAGACAAGAAGCGAATGGACAAGGTAGAGGATGAGCTGAAGGAGAAGAAGAAGGAGCTGGGCAAAATGATGCGGGAGCAGCAGCAGATCGAGAAGGAGATCAAGGAGAAGGACTCAGAGCTGAATCAGAAGCGACCTCAGTACATCAAAGCCAAGGAGAATACCTCCCACAAAATCAAGAAGCTGGAAGCAGCTAAGAAGTCTCTGCAGAATGCTCAGAAGCACTATAAAAAGCGTAAAGGTGACATGGATGAACTGGAGAAGGAGATGCTGTCTGTGGAGAAGGCCCGGCAGGAGTTTGAAGAACGGATGGAAGAGGAGAGTCAGAGTCAGGGCAGAGACTTGACCCTGGAGGAGAATCAGGTAAAGAAATACCACTGGCTGAAAGAAGAAGCCAACAAGAGAGCAGCCACTTTAGCCCAGGAGCTGGAGAAGTTCAATAGAGACCAGAAAGCTGACCAGGACCGTTTGGATCTGGAAGAGCGGAAGAAAGTAGAAACAGAGGCCAAGATCAAGCAGAAGCTGCGGGAGATTGAAGAGAATCAGAAGTGGATTGAGAAGCTGGAGGAATACATCACTACTAGCAAGCAATCCCTAGAGGAGCAGAAGAAGCTAGAGGGAGAACTGACTGAGGAGGTGGAGATGGCCAAGAGGCGAATAGATGAGATCAATAAGGAGCTGAACCAGGTGATGGAGCAGTTGGGGGATGCACGCATAGACCGCCAGGAGAGCAGCCGTCAGCAGCGAAAGGCAGAGATAATGGAAAGCATCAAGCGCCTTTACCCTGGCTCTGTGTATGGCCGCCTCATTGACCTCTGCCAGCCCACACAAAAGAAGTATCAGATTGCTGTGACCAAGGTTTTGGGCAAGAACATGGATGCCATTATTGTAGACTCAGAAAAGACAGGCCGGGATTGTATTCAGTATATCAAGGAGCAGCATGGGGAGCCAGAGACCTTCTTGCCTCTTGACTACCTGGAGGTGAAACCTACAGATGAAAAACTCCGGGAACTGAAGGGGGCCAAGCTAGTGATTGATGTGATTCGCTATGAGCCACCTCACATCAAAAAAGCCCTGCAGTATGCTTGTGGCAATGCCCTTGTCTGTGACAATGTAGAAGATGCCCGCCGCATTGCCTTTGGAGACCATCAGCGTCACAAGACAGTTGCACTGGATGGGACCCTGTTCCAGAAGTCAGGAGTCATCTCTGGTGGAGCCAGTGACCTGAAAGCGAAGGCACGGCGCTGGGATGAGAAAGCAGTAGACAAGTTGAAAGAGAAGAAGGAGCGGTTGACAGAGGAGCTGAAAAAGCAAATGAAGGCAAAGCGGAAAGAGGCAGAGCTGCGTCAGGTGCAGTCTCAGGCCCATGGATTGCAGATGCGACTCAAGTACTCACAGAGCGACCTAGAACAGACCAAGACACGACATCTGGCACTAAATCTCCAGGAAAAGTCCAAGCTGGAGAGTGAGCTGGCCAACTTCGGGCCTCGAATTAATGATATCAAGAGGATTATTCAGAGCCGAGAGAGGGAAATGAAAGACTTAAAAGAGAAGATGAACCAGGTAGAGGATGAGGTATTTGAAGAATTTTGTCGGGAGATTGGTGTCTGCAACATCCGAGAATTTGAGGAAGAGAAGGTGAAGCGACAGAATGAAATTGCCAAGAAGCGTTTGGAGTTCGAAAATCAGAAGACTCGCTTGGGCATCCAGTTGGATTTTGAAAAGAACCAACTGAAGGAAGACCAGGATAAAGTACACATGTGGGAACAGACAGTAAAAAAGGATGAAAATGAGATAGAAAAACTCAAGAAGGAAGAGCAAAGACATATGAAGATCATAGATGAGACCATGGCCCAACTACAAGACCTGAAGAATCAGCACCTGGCCAAGAAGTCAGAAGTGAATGACAAGAATCATGAGATGGAGGAAATTCGGAAGAAACTTGGGGGTGCCAACAAGGAAATGACTCATTTACAGAAGGAGGTAACAGCCATTGAGACCAAACTTGAACAGAAGCGCAGTGATAGCCACAACTTGCTACAGGCCTGCAAGATGCAAGACATCAAGTTGCCGCTGTCAAAGGGCACTATGGATGATATTAGTCAGGAAGAGGGTAGCTCCCAAGGGGGGGAATCAGTGAGTGGTTCCCAGAGAACGTCCAGTATCTATGCTCGAGAAGCCCTCATTGAAATCGACTACGGTGACCTGTGTGAGGATCTGAAGGATGCCCAGGCTGAGGAGGAAATCAAGCAGGAAATGAACACACTGCGGCAGAAACTGAATGAGCAGCAGAGTGTGCTTCAGCGAATTGCTGCCCCTAACATGAAGGCCATGGAAAAGCTGGAAAGTGTCCGAGACAAGTTCCAGGAGACCTCAGATGAATTTGAGGCAGCCCGAAAGTGAGCAAAGAAGGCCAAACAGGCTTTTGAACAGATTAAGAAGGAGCGATTTGACCATTTCAATGCTTGTTTTGAATCTGGGGCTACTAACATTGATGAGATCTACAAGGCTCTGTCTCGTAACAGCAGTGCCCAGGCATTCTTGGGCCCTGAGAATCCTGAGGAGCCCTACTTGGATGGTATCAACTACAACTGTGTAGCTCCTGGCAAACGCTTCTGGCCTATGGATAACTTGTCGGGGTGGGGAGAAGACAGTGGCAGCTCTGGCCCTACTCTTTGCCATCCACAGCTACAAGCCAGCCCCCTTCTTCGTCCTGGATGAGATCGATGCTGCCTTGGATAACACCAACATTGGCAAGGTGGCAAATTATATCAAGGAGCAGTCGACTTGCAACTTCCAGGCCATCATCATCTCTCTCAAGGAGGAGTTCTACACCAAGGCTGAGAGCCTCATTGGAGTCTATCCTGAGCAAGGGGACTGTGTGATCAGCAAAGTCCTGACCTTCGACCTCACCAAGTACCCAGATGCCAACCCCAACCCCAATGAGCAGTAGCAGTAGTTCTACCCTCCTGCCCTTTCTGGATTCATAAACTTCCCCTCTACCAATCTGGATATTTGGCACCCAACCTTCCCCTCCCTCCTGGTCCTGTTTGGTGTAATCATGGGATTTAGGCACTGTTATCAAGCACGAAGAGGAACAGAGGTGATGTTAGGTCTGGAGCAAAAATTCCTGAGCTACAGGGAGCATCCTGGCCTCTGGAAGGAGGTGCTAAGCTGAGCTGAACAGGGCCATCTGTCCATACCACCCCCTCCCAGACCACCCCACCCATCACACATTAATCATGGGTCCCTTGGGTCCCTGGCCCACTGAGTGTGTGGGTATGTATGTGTGTTTATGTATGTTTGCTTGTGTGCATGTGGGTGTGTTTGCAAAATAATAAAAGATATTGGAGACCTGTTTTAGAAAGAGCCTAGGCTGAATTTGATTCCAAGAGACCTTAGGATGACAGCACCCCAGAGCTGGGCAAAGGTACTTGGTACCTCATAGGAGTCTTAGGCAGTCACTGGAAACTGCCCTCATTCACTTATTCATACGTTCATATATTCATCAGACACATACTGAACACCCTCTATTTGTCAGGCTCTATGCTTAGAATACTAAGTTTAAATCTGACATGATCTCTGTCCTGGTAAGGAGATGTAGTGGATTCATGAATTACAGTGGTTAGCCAATTTGAGAAGAGGATGATCACCTCTAGGTTTCCTGGAGAAGATCATGTTTGAGCTGGACCTTGACAAATTGGTAGAATTTGGTCAGGCACTAGAAGCAGAACATGGGCTCTAGGGCAGACAGTTAGGGGTTCTGGTCCCGCGTCATCACTTACTAGTTGTTTGACCTTTCTGTGCCTCAGTTCCCTCATCTGTAAAATGGGGCTAATAATATTACCTACCTCATAGGATTTAATGATGTCAAGCTCCTCACTGGAGGCATTATCCATGTGGAGCCAACTAGGTGCCAACCCTTCAGAATACAAGCCTTCTCATGCCTGGACCCTTGAGGGCTTCTGATCCTGGCTTTTAGGGACAGAAGGAACCTCCAAATCTGGGAGGTGTTCTGGTTAATGAGAAAGTTCCAGGGAGATGACAGGGTTTACCTAGTAAGTGGAGGTCCTAAGAAAGCCTGTAGCTTCAACCATGTATAACTGGGTGCTTGGGCCCCAATTTGGGTTGTGAGGAACTAGGAGGAGAGGTAGCCTGGGCCTAATATGTGATGATCCTGTTGGGACCTAACCTCATTAGCTATAAGGACAGGACTGTAGAGGCAGCAAAGCCTGGTGCAATGAGTTCAGCTTTCTTCACTCATTCACGTACATTATCATACTTTTCTTATCCTGATCATGTCTTGCTTTTTTGTTTTTTAAAAATTAAATCAACTGGGGGTGTAGTTTAGTGGTAGAGTACATGCTTAGCATGTGCAGGGCCCTGGGTTGTCCCAGCTGCCCCCACACCAGAGTTCTAACTACAAAAGTAATGCATGAATCCATTCTCTTAAAGAAATTAGATTGTTGCAGATAAAAGTAGCCTCATTCAACTATAACTACTCCCTTTCCTATTCTTTCCCCTCATAACTGCTGTTATGTTTTTTATGCTTCCATCTAGACTTTGTTTTAATATTTTTACATACATATATGAATTCACTGAAAATATTGTGTCTAATGCAAATGCTATATTGAATTGTTCTCCATTTCTTTGCTTAACAATGTTTTTGAAATCTGTGCATGTTGCTAAGTGTAGCTCAATTCATCCTCTATAATTGCTGTATAGATTGCCATCATATGACTCTACCACATTTTATTTACCCATTTCTCTTATGATGGACATTAAGACTGTTCAAATTTTGCTATTACAAAATACTACATAGGAGCATCCCTGTATCTGTGTGAATGTGTGTCTGTGTGTCTGAAAGTTTACCTGGGTTGATTCCTAGAAGTGGAATTGCAGAGTCATAGGATATTTATATATTTGTGTCTGATAGATATTTCCAAATTGCCCTCCTGTACTATTTACTAAGTATTTTTCCTGAGGTGATCTGAGGTCTAACATTGTTATCTACATCAGTTTCATTCTAAGTAGTGATATCCATGAAGTCACTGGTTTGATATGCTAATTATGTATTTTTCTAATACGTATTAAAAGGCATGACTATCTAAACAAAAAAAAATTGTCTGTGTTCAACCAAAGAAGTCACATACCACCAGTGGTACATGTGCCATAATTTGGCTAATGCTGGCACAGTTCGGGGGTCAGACCTGGTTCAAATCCTAGCCGTAGAAACTTGGGCAAGTTAGATCCTCACTGAGCCTCAGTTTCCTCATTTTATAAAAGGAGATAAATAGGATGGGGCTGGGGTAGTTTAGAGGTAGAGCTCTTGCTTAGCATGTACAAGGCCCAGGGTTTGATCCGTAGCCCTGACCAAAAAATAAAAGGAGATAAATAAACACCTACATTGCATAAGTGAAGGAAGATTATGTAAAATATATTTGAAGCAATTTAGCTGGCATATCTAGATCACCACTGCTTTTTAAAGGTAGTGATTACTATTCTCCCTGCTTTGCAGATGAGAAGACTGAGACCCTAAAAGGGTTTGTGCTTCCGTCACTTACCAGATAACTGTGTGAGCTTGAACCCAGGTCTTCCAATTCATTCTAGTGCTTTTTCCACTATAAAGGTAGTTATCAATCTTGGCTGTACTTATTTGTGAAGCTTTCCCTTTTCCCTTTTTAAATCAAAGCAATATATACACAGGTGATAATAGTACAGAAGGGCTTTAATGAAAAGCGGCAGCTCCCTGCTGCACCCCCACATCCAAAGGATTGTGGAGCTCTTTAAAAATAAATTGCTTTGGTCCCGCCTCTGGAAATCTGATTCAGTAGGTGTGGAAAATAACCTGGGTAACTAGCCCCTACCTCGCAGGATAGAAAGGGCTAAGGCCCTGTCACACATGTGCTACAAAGGAGCTTCAAAGACTTATGTCCAAAGGGGGTGGGTGAGGTTCCAGTGGTTTAGTGACAGATCCTAGAGTTCCATTTGGATCTTAGTGCTTGCCTGCTGCTCTTCCCTCTTGTCCCCCAGCACCTCCTGTCACTGCAAGGCAGTACAAGTCAGTGAAGACTGTGCTCAGAGGAGGGTGGACACCATGGTGTTTTTCTAAGAGCAAGCTGGTTCCAAGTAGAATCCCTAGGGCTTGTTGGAGGAACCAAGTTGACTCCCTTATACCCTGGATACACTTGCCTTGGTTTAAGGAGTTATGAGTACTCCACAATAGTATCTTCCTTTAATTGTGTGCTTCACTCTGGGAATCAGTATGGTGCACCAGAAACAAAAAGATGAGTCAAATCATTTTTCTGCCTTTGAGGAGTTGACTATCTAGTTGGGGGACGGGGGAATTCATAAGATGGCCATTAACCATTGGTGATAAGTTCTCTTAATAGAAGTACAGGAGGGGCATCTAGCTTAGGTAGATTCAATGAAGGCATCCTCTAGTTAGGTGGTGACACCTGAATGAGACTTGAGGGACTGACTGGTAGGAATTAAAAGGAAGTAAAAGGGAATCCCAGGTAGTGGAAACAGTATGTATGCACAAAGTCCTGAAGGCAAGAAACAGCAAAGCAATTCAGGAATACTGAAGAATAAAGATCCCTGGGGTAAGGAAAGCTGGAGTTTGGTGGGTCAGTGTGGTTTCCAAACTGTACACAGGAAACCCATGGGCCATTCTGGGTTCCAACCTCTAAACAGTTTCACCAAATTTAATTTTCTTAAATGCTTTTAAAGGTCTTATGACTAGTATGCTGCAGACTGGGGCCCGTAGTTTGAAGGTAGTAGGGAAACCATGAAACTATTTTTAAGCAGAGGGCACTCTAGATATGAATTACCTTGTTTCTGGCTAGCCAGCTGGGGTGAAAATGGATTAGATATTCATGCTGGATGCACCTGTGCATGTAAGTTTCCCTGTTATTCAACTTCTTGCACTCTATTATATTTCCTTATTTTGCTCTAAATAACCTGTATGCACCACAAGGATGAGTCTGGGGATATTTGCTTGCCAGTACATCCCTTGCAGAAAGCAACAGTGCCTGACAAAATAGGCACCTAATAAAATATTTGAATGAATGAATGAATGAATGAATGCATTTGTGAGAAAAGAATGAAGACAGGGTGATTAGTTAGGAGAGACCAAGAAGCCTGCTGTAGGGCAAGGGCAATAGGAATGGAGTGGAAGTGATAAGGTGTGAGCTGTTCAGATGGTGAACTGGACTTGATGACTGATTATTGGATGTGGAGGGTGACTGAGAGGATAGAATGAGTACCCACGAATAGCCAAGATTCCTGCCCTATCCCAGTTGTCTCCTCATCCATCTCTGAATCAGAATCTCCCCAGCCTCCTCAGCACCTGGAGCATCTTCCTCAAGTCAGTTCAACATTCTGTGTGCTTTGTGGTCTCTCACTTCTCCCACCCCAGCCATTGATTCATTCATTCAGTTCAATAAATCTTGGCTAAGCACCTCCTATGTACAGTGAGGCTCTTTCAAGCCATGACTCTGACTCCCTCTTTCCTACCTCAAGAGATGTTTTTGAGGGCTTTCCCAGGTAAGACTCATTCCTTATCCAATAACATATAGTGAGATGCCCAAAATGTTGACCTGCAAGGGAACTGAGAGGCTGCCCAACCCCTTCCTGAGGCCCTCAGAGGGGAATTAGCTTCCTAAGGTTCCACTGCTAGAAAGAGTTGGAGCCAGAACTTGAACCCAAGTTCCCTTTGCACATCACCTCTAGAGCCTCGGTCTTGGTCTGTCCCATTGCAGATCAGGACAGGCAGAGGTGGTCAGGGAGAATGTGGGACTTAGGTTGAGCCATGAAGGTCAATGTACTGTATAGGCTAAACAAGATGCTTGCCAATTACACTGCCCCCTTTTGGAAACCCTCAGCAAACCTGCCATGCCCTCAGTCCTTTATAAGAGGTTTCTTTAGCATAAGTTGCCATGCTCTGTACCATGTGACCTCACAGACCTGGCCATAGATGGCTAGATTTGGATAGTACCTGACTAAAGACGGCCAATCTCTAGGCTAGCCAGAAGCCTATTAGGTGGACTTGGTGTAAAGATTCCGCCTCATAGAGGTGGTGTGTTTCTAATGGCAAATGCATGAAACAATCAGATCTTCAAGGGAGCCTAAATATGAGGTATTCAGAAGAAGTGGACAATTAGAATTTAATGAGGCAGAAGTGGTGGTGGATGAGGGGTAGCCAGAAACTAAATAGCAAAAGCAAAGAGAAAGCTTTGAAAGTCATAAGTCATGAGATATTTACATTATGAGATCATGGAACCACAAGTTAACTGAAGCCATGAAGCAGCAAGGCAACAATGGGCCAAAAGGATGTAGAAGCCATGAAACAATAGGAGCCTTGAGGAACAGAATACATGAGCCAAAACTGATCATGTGAGATCCATGAAGCAGCAGAAGGCTTGAAGAGACAAGATGCATGAGGCATCAGAAGCAATGAGACTGCAAGAGCAACGAAGTAGCTGGAACCACGTGGCAGCAAGGCAACAGGAATGGAAGAGGCAGCAGGAGTTAGAATGCAGGCAGAAGCTACAGCAGAGAAGCCATGGATTAATAGGAACTGAAGCCCCAAGAGCCTCAAAGCTGCAGGAGCTGGGAGGCAGCAGAAGCCATGGGCTAGCAATGAGGGAAAGAAGTTAGTCAGTAGCAGTAGGAGGAGTATAAATACAGCCATAAAGTAGTTGAGTCACCATTTTGGGAAGCACTAGAGAAGGTAGCAACAGATGCCTGCAGCTGAGGGGGTGATGAGATAAGCCAGGCTCTAGAGCTGCTTTGGATCATGAACCATTTTCAAGTTTCTGTTCTTCAGCAAGGCTGCCTGTGTAACTGTTCTTGTCTTCCTTATTTCCTTGTGAATGCTTTAATAAATCCCAATCACTAAAAAAAAAAAAAAAAGAGTGGAAGAAAATCTTTACCACATGCACCTCAGAGAGAGCATTAATCTCCAGGATATGTAAAGAGCTCAAAAAACCTAACATCAAAATAACAAATACCCCAGTGAATAAATGGGCAAAGGAACTGAACAGACACTTCACAGAAGAAAAAATACAATTGACCAACAAATACATGAAAAAATGTTCAACATCTCTGATAATTAGAGAAATGTAAATCAAAACTAAGATTTCATCTCACTCCAGTCAGAATGGCAGGTATCAAGAATACAAGCAACAATAAGTGTTGGCAAGGATGTGGGGGAAAATGTACACTCATACATTGCTGATGGGACTGCATATTGGTGCAACTAATATGGAAAGCAGTATGGAGATTCCTCAGAAAACTTGGAATGGAACCACCATTTAACACAGTTATCCAAAGATGTTAAAATCAATGTACTACAGTGACACAACCGTTCAATTCACAATAGCTAAGCTATACCAACCTATGTACCCTTCAAGAGATAAATGGATAAATAAAATGTGGTATATATACACAATGGAGTATTACTCAGCTATACAGAAGAATGGCTTCATAACATTTACCAATAAATGGAATGATCTGGAGACAATCATGCTACACGAAGTAAGCCAGTCCCACCAAAAAACCAAAGGTCAAATATTTCCTCTGATAGGTGGAATCTCATGCATAATAAGAGAGTTGGTGAGGGAAAGAATAGAAGATAGTAGAGGATAGGAAAGGTAGCAGAATACAACAGTTA